TTTGGGGCAGGAGCAGTGGAGGGTTTGGGGTCAGTGGTGACCATTGGTGCAAATAGGGAGATTTTGGACAAAGGGTCAAGGGCTGATGTTTGGGGGATAATTTAAAGGAAGAGTCTCAGTTTGGGGACAGGTGAGGACCCAGAGATGGGGATGGATGCACCACGGCCATCGTCACTCTAAGCAGCACCACCACCATAACCACTAGTACCACGTTTGGCACAGAAATAAATGGCAGAATCCTCGTCCTTGAGGTTGTTCATGGTCAGCGTCACCGAGCTCTTCCCGTTTTCCCTGGGGATTGTGGCCCGGCCCTTGGCCGACGGTGCGTAGTCGGTGCTGCCACCACTGCTGCTGATACTGGCGATGTATTCCAGCCCCTGCCCAGGTCTCTGGCGCACCCAGTGCATGCCAAAACTCCCGAAATCAAACCCGGACCCTCGGCAGAGGAGGCGCAGGGAACCCCCGGGGGGCTGGAGGTCTCCCCCGCACTCCAGCAGGGTCACAGCTGCCCGGAGCCCTGCGGGACTAAGGGGAGATGGGCACGGGGCCTGGCTGTGCCATTCTCATTCCCTGCACAGAGTCAGTACCCATTGTCTCTCTCCCTCTCTCTCCCTCTCTCCCTCTCTCCCTCTCTCCCTCTCTCTCTCTCTCTCCCTCTCTCTTTGTCTTCCTCTCTCTCTCTCTCATTATTTTTCCTGGAGCAGCACAGGGAGAAGAAGAAGATGAAACAATTCCCATCTCTCATCGCTGCTCCTGCTGTTTCTGCACATGTGGAATGGGTCGGGGGGATCGTTCCCCTCCAGGGATTTACCAGTTGGGTGCTGCTGAGGATTGTTTTGTTTCCTTGCCCAGTGGGCTCCAGGCCGTGACCTGGCTCTGTCAGACGCTCGCGGGGTTTCTTCAGGATATTTTAGGGTCTTTTATACAGAATTCTTTTAGTATCTCTTTGGTATAGGTGTAATATAGGATTAATGAGATATAATAGAGAATTAAAGAGATATAATACAGAATTCATGAGATATAATATAGTATTAATGAGATTTTATATAGAATTAATGAGATATAATTTAGTATTAATGACAGGTAATACAGTATTAATGAGATATAGCATAGTATTAATGGGATATAATATAGAATTAATGAGATATAATATAGTATTAGTTAGATATAATATATTATTAATAAGATGTAATATAGTAATAATGAGATATAATATTGTATTATTGTAATAAAATCTAGTATTAGTGTAATATAGTAGAGATTTAATAGCAATCGTTCAGCATTCTGAATCATGGAGTCAGACGCCATGACCCTGATGGAGTGCGGGGGGGACCTCCAGCCCCCGGGGGGTCCCTGCGCCTCCTCTGCCGAGGGTCTGGGTTCGATTTTGGGAATTTTGGGATGGGCTGGTATCGACAGAGACCCGGGCAGGGGCTGGAATGGATCGCAGCGATCTGGAGCAATGGTGGCACCGACTACGCGCCATCGGTAGAGGCCGGGTCACGATCTCCAGGGACAACGGGCAGAGCTCGGTGATTCTGACCATGAACAATCTCAAGGACAAGGATTCCGCTGCCTATTTCTGTGCCAAGGCTGCTGGTGCTAATTGGGCTGAACATGCTGGTCATAGTGACAATGGCCTTGCTGTCCCTACCCCAATCTCCGTGTCCCACCCCATCCCCGTTCCCCAGACCCTTCCCCCAGACCCCCAGCCCACACCCAGCCCTTGACCATTGATCCCAACCTTGCTCTGGCTCGGCCCCAATTCTCACCTGCTGACCCCAAACCACAACTCCTGACCCCAAATCTCCTCTTTGTGCCCCATAACTTTGCTCTGAAGGTCGGGGTTTGAGGCCCAGGGTCCCGAATTGGGGACAAAGGTTGAGGATTTGTGTCAGCAGCTGTGGCTGGGACCCAGAGTGGGGATTTGGGGCAGAATCAGGCATGACTGGGGGCCAGAGCAGTTGGATTTGGGGCAGAACCAGTTTGGGGGTATTTCCTTCCTTGTTGGTGGTGTTGGAAATGGGGGAGATCTGGGACAAAAGGTCAAGACTGGGGTCAAGGGCTGAGATTTGGAGGAAGGGTCTGGGGATTGGGGACAGGAGGGGACCCAGTTAAGGGGAAGGGGCCAAGAGAAGAGACATCATTGCCCCAACTGGCACCAGCAGCTTTGGCACAGAAATAGGATCCGGAATCGTCGTCCTTGAGGCTGTTCATGGTCAGCGTCACCGAACTCTGCCCATTGTCCCTGGAGATCGTGACATGGCTTTTGACCGAACCCGCGTACTCGGTGTAAGCACCACTGCTGATCCCCGTGAGCCATTCCAGCCCCTGCCCGGGTCTCTGATGGATCCAGAACATTCCAAAACTCCCAAAACTGAACCCGGACCCTCGGCAGAGGAGGCGCTGGGAACCCCCAGGGGGCTGGAGGTTCCCCCAGCACTCCAGCAGGGCCACGGCCTCTTCCCCATCCCCAAACCTTCACTAGTTTTGCCCCAAATATCCTTTTGTCGGGCCCCAAATATCTAACAGAAATTTCCTGTATGGAAAACTTCCATAAACCCTGCAATTAGACCCAATCCATCCATTAATTAATTGGACAGCTCTGCCGGACTTTTGCGACTCCCCATCCCCATCTCACCTTTGACCCGCAGGGCTCCGGGCCGCCGTGACCCTGCTGGAGTGCGGGGGGGACCTCCAGCCCCCCGGGGGCTCCCTGCGCCTCCTCTGCCGAGGGTCTGGGTTCGATTTTGGACAATTTGGAATGGGCTGGTATCGACAGAGGCCCGGCCAGGGGCTGGAATACGTCGCGAGTGTCAACAACAATGGAGATTATACCAAGTACGCGCCATCGGTGCAGGGCTGGGTCACGATCTCCAGGGACAACAGGCAGAGCTCGGTGACGCTGACCATGAACAACCGCAAGGACGAGGATTCCAGATCCTGTTTCTGTGGGAAATCTGCTAATGCTGGTTGGCCTGCTGCTGCTACTCATATTGACCATGCCAGTTTTGGCATCACCCCTGTCTGAACCCCCAGTCCCCAAACCCAGACCCTTCTCCCGAACCTCAGCCCTTGACCCTTTGTCCCAGATCTCCCCCATTTGCCCCAATGGTCAGCACTGACCCCAAACCCTCCCCTGCTCCCGCCCAAAAACTCAGCCATTGGCCTCAAACCTTCACCCCTGGCCTTCAGTTCAGGCCTCCTCCAATCAGGGCCTGAGACTTGGTTGAGATTTGGGGGAAATGGGCAAAATTGGAGGAAAGCACAGAGTTGGGGCAACAATGGCAGAGCTTGGGGGAAAATGGTCGAGCTTTTAGAAGGGCTGAAACTTGGGGGAAGCATTGCTGAAGTGGAGAAATTTCACGACCATCATGGTCACTACCGGAAGTCAAGGAAAAGAGCAGCAGCATTACCATCAGCATAACCATTGTCACGTTTGGCACAGAAACAGGATCCGGAATCCTCGTCCTTGAGGTTGGTCATGGTCAGCGTCACCGAGCTCTGCCCGTTGTCCCTGGAGATCGTGAACCGGCCCTGCATCGATGGCGTGTAGTTGGTGGTGCCATCACTGCTGCTGATACTGGCGATGTATTCCAGCGTCTGCCCGGGTCTCTGGCGAAACCAGTACATCCCAAATTGTCTGAAATCAAACCCGGACCCTCGGCAGAGGAGGCGCAGGGACCCCCCGGGGGGCTGGAGGTCCCCCCTGCACTCCAGCAGGGTCACGGCCGCCCGGAGCCCTGCGGGACAAAGGGGAGATGGGGATGGGGCGATGCAAAAGCCAGGTGGAGCTGTCAAAGTAATAATGGGTGGATTGGGGCTAATTGCAGGGTTTAAGGTTCTGTAGAATAATGGAAACCTCTGTAGAATATTTGAGTCCAGACAAAGGGAATTTGGGACAAAACTGGGGAAGGGTTGGGGTTCGGGGAGTGGCCGTGACCCTGCTGGAGTCCGGGGAGACCTCCAGTCTCCTCTGCCGAGGGTCCGGGTTCAGTTTCGGCAGTTTTAGGATGGGCTGGACTGGATCTCAGCGATCTGGAGCAATGGTGCCACCTACTACGCGCCATCGTTCTAGGGTCGGTTCAGGATCTTCAAGGACAACGGGCAGAGCTCGGTGACGCTGACCATGAACAACCTCAAGGACGAGGATTCCGGATCCTATTTCTGTGCCAAGGATGCTGATGGTTACGGTGCTGCTCCTATAAAGGGTTGGGGATGGGGCCATGGTCGGCACTCTCAATATAACCAGCAGCATAAGCGCCACCGGTACTAGGAGATTTCCCGCAGAAATAGGATCCAGAGAGCCAGGAGTTGAGATTTGGGTCCAGGAGCTGAGATTTGGGGCCAGAACAGGGCAGGGTTGGGACACAGGGTCAGGAGTGGGGTCTGGGGTTGGAGGGAATGATCTGGGGCACGGGGACAGGAACAGGGGTTAGATCACCATCACCAACATCAGCATCAGAAGCAGCACAACAACTGTAAACACCCTTGGTGCAGAAATAGGATCCGGAATCCTCGTCCTTGAGGTTGTTCATGGTCAGCGTCACCGAGCTCTGACCGGTGTCCCTGGAGATCCTGAACCGACCCTTGACCGATGGCGCGAAGCAAATGCTGGCACCGTTGTTGCTGATCCCTGCACGAATTCCAGCCCTTTCCCAGGTCTTTGACGCATCCAGCCCATGTTGAAACTGCCGAAACTCATCCCGGACCCACGGTAGAGGAGGCACAGGGACCCCCCGGGGGGCTGGAGGTCACCCCCGCACTCCAGCAGGGTCACGGCCGCCCGGAGCCCTGCAGGACAAACGGGAGATGGGGATGGGGCCAAAGCTCAACCCTTGACCCAAATCCTGACTCTTGGCCCCAAATTGGGACCCTTGAAGTTCATCATCTTCCCCCCAGGTGGGTCCTGCCCCGTTTTCCCAGCTGGCCACATGCAGTATGAGACATTCAACCAATCAGGTTTCTCATCGCCATCTCCCCTTTGTCCTGCAGGGCTCCGGGCGGCCGTGACCCTGCTGGAGTGCGGGGGGGAGCTCCAGCCCCCCGGGGGGTCCCTGCGCCTCCTCTGCCGAGGGTCCGGGTTCAGTTTTGGGGATTATGGAATGTACTGGATCCGCCAGAGACCCGGGCAGGCTTTGCAATACGTCGCAGGCATCTACTTCAATAGTTCCAACACCTACTACGCGCCATCGTTCAAGGGTCGGTTCAGGATCTCCAGGGACAACGGGCAGAGCTCGGTGACGCTGACCATGAACAACCTCAAGGACGAGGATTCCGCCATTTATTTCGGCGCCAAGTGTGCTGCTAATAATTACCCTGACCATGCTGCTTGTAGTGACGATGCCCATGGTTTTCCCACCCCCATCCCTGTGTCCCCCTCAATGCCCGTTTCCCAGACCCTTCCCCCAGACCCCCAGCCCACACCCAGCCCTTGACCATTGATCCCAACCTTGCTCTGCCTTGGCCCCAATTCTCACCCGCTGACCCTAAACCACAACTCCTGACCCCAAATCTCTTCTTTGTTCCCCAAAATTTTGCTCTGAAGGTCGGGGTTTGAGGCCCAGGGTCCCGATTTGGAGACAAAGGTTGAGGATTTGTGTAAACGGCTGCTGCTGCAGGGAGCAAAAGTGGGGATTTGGGGCAGGTTTGGGCAATTTTTGGTGCCAACTTAGTTTGGTTTGGGGCAGAAGCAGTTCGCGGGTTTCGGCTCCGTGGTTGGTGGTGTTGGAAATGGGGGAGATCTGGGACAAAGGACCAAGAATGGGGTCAAGGGCTGAGATTTGGAGGATGGGTCTGAGATTTGGGAACTTGGGGTGCTCAGAAAGGCAATGCCACCATCGGCACGGTCAGTATAAGCAGCAGCAGCAGCAGCGCTATCTGTGCTGTAAGATTTGGCACAGAAATAAACGGCGGAATCCTCGTCCTTGAGGTTGTTCATGGTCAGCGTCAGCGAGCTCTGCCCGTTGTCCCTGGAGATCGTGAACCGGCCCTTGACCGAATCCGCATAGTAGGTGCTGCCACTGCTGCTGATACTGGCGACTGCTTCCAGGCCCCGCCAAGGTCTCTGGCGGTGCCAGCCCATCCCAAAACTGCCTAAACTGAACCCGAACCCTCGGCAGAGGAGGAGCAGCGACCCCCCAGGGTGCTGGAGGTACCCCCCGCACTCCAGCGGGGTCACGGCCGCCTGGAGCCCTGCAGGACAAAGGGGAGATGGGGATGAGGAACCCGATTGGCTGAGGGCCTCAAAGTTGGTGTGTAAAACTGGAAAATGTGGTGGGACTCACCTTAGAGGGGCAGCCGGAGCAGGACAACTAGGATGGGGTGGTCCAAAGGTCCCAGTTTCGGGCCCAGAGTCAGGGTTTGGGTCAAGGGTTTAGCTTTGTCCTCACCCCCATCTCCCATTTGTCCCGCAGGGCTCCGGGCGGCCGTGACCCTGCTGGAGTGTGGGGGTGACCTCCAGCCGCCCTGGGGGTCCCTGCGCCTCCTCTGCCGAGGGTCCGGGTTCAGTTTTGGCAGTTTCGAAATGGATTGGGTTCGACAGAGACCTGGACAGGGGCTGGACTGGGTTGGAAGCATCAACAGTGGTGGCAGCACCTACAACGCGCCATCGGTCAAGGGCCCGTTCACGATCTCCAGGGACAACGGGCAGAGCTCGGTGACGCTGACCGTGAACAACCTCAAGGACGAGGATTCCGCCATCTATTTCTGTGCCAAAACCACTGTTACTGGAAATGTTGCTCGTGCTGATGCTTTTGACCCCGTCCCCTTCACCCTTTTCCCGCCTGTCCCCATTCCCCAGACCCTTCCCCAATCCCCAACCCCTGTCCCCATTCCTGTCCTCATGCCCGAACCCTGCCATGGCTCTTCCCCACATTCTCAGCTCCTGGCCCCACACCTCAGCTCGGGGCCCATTTGGGGCCATTTTGGCTCCTGAGCTCTCCTTGGCCATTCTGACCCTGCCCTTGACCGATGGAACGTTTCAGGTGACTCCACCCTTGCACCCCTCTGCTTCACTCAGCATGGAGCCCTTGGCTCGAGATCAATTTGAAAAATACAAATTCCCCAAAATTTCATGTGGTTTTGTGTAAAAAAAAAAGGGTTTTCTCTCCAGAGCTCCCAGAGAGGATTCCAGCCAAGCCCCAAGGAGCAGCCCCAGACACCACGGCCGCTGAGGGAGCAGTGAAGCCCCAGGTGGGACAAAGGGAGGGAGGGAGGAGAAGAGGCCGCGATTTTGGGGCTCCGCAACCTCCCCCCACTTCCTCCCCAGCAGCTGCCGGGCCCGGCTGGGGCAGGAAAGGAAACAGAAAGTTCCTGGTTTTGGTCACTGTGAACATCTGTGTTTGGCAGAGGGCAGCTCAGCCTCTGGGCGCTGCGGCAGAGCGCCGGCTGCACAAAAAGCTTTGTGTTCAAAGGGCTCTAGAGCGATCCCCGTTCCGCACTGGGACGGAGGGGAAGGGCCAGACTGGGGAGAAATGGGCAAAATTGGGGGGAAACCGGGAATTGGGGAAGTGATGGTGGCATTTGGGGGAAATGGTCAAGATTTGAGAAATAGGTGTGGGGATTTTGGGGAAGGATCAGAGAATTCTGAGATATTTGGGAACACAGAACCAAAGGCTTGGGGCCACAACCACCATCAACACCATAAGCAGCAGCACCACCACCACGAAAACTACTGCTGTAACATTTGGCGCAGAAATAGGATCTGGAATCCTCATCCTTGAGGTTGTTCATGGTCAGCGTCACCGAGCTCTGCCTGTTGTCCCTGGAGATCCTGAACCAGCCCTTGAAGGATGGATTGTAGTCGGCGCTGCCACTGCTGGTGTTCCCTGCGAGCCACACCAGAGTCTGCCCAGGTCTCTGGCGGATCCAGCCCATCCCAAAACTGCCAAAATCGACCCCGGACCCTCGGCAGAGGAGGCGCAGGGACCCCCCAGGGGGCTGGAGGTCTCCCCCGCACTCCAGCAGTGTCACGGCCGCCCGGAGCCCCGCAGGACAAAGAGGAGATGGAGATGAGAAACCTGATTGGCTGAGGGCTTCAAAGTGGGTGTGTCAAACTGGAAAATGGGGCGAGACCCACCTGGGAGGGGCAGCAGGAGCAGGACAACTTGGATGGGGTGGTCCAAGGGTCCCAGTTTCGGGCCCAGAGTCAGGATTTGGGTCAAGGGTTGTGCTTTGTCCTCATCCCCATCTCCCCTTTGTCCCGCATGGCTCCGGGCGGCCGTGACCCTGCTGGAGTGCGGGGGGGACCTCCAGCCCCCTGCACGGGTCCCTGACGTTGCTGTGCTTTGCCTCTGGGTTCAATTTTGGGAGTCAGTCCATGAGCTGGGTCCATCAGAGACACGGGCAGGGGCTGGAGTGGCTCGTGGGAATCAGCACTGGTGGCAGCACATTCTATGCGCCATCGGTCAAGGGCCGGTTCACAATCTCCAGGGACAACGGGCAGAGCTCGGTGACGCTGACCATGAACAACCTCAAGAACAAGGATTCTGGATCCTATTTCTGTGCCAAACTTGCTTCTAGTGGTTGTTGTGGTCCTGGTGCTTACAGTGAAGATGACTGTTGTGGATTCACCCCCCTCTCAGTATCCCCCCCTGTCCCCAATCTGAGACCCGCCCCCCAAACGTCAGATCTTCACCCTTTGTCCCCATTTGCCCCAATGGTCAGCACTGACCCCAAACCCTCCCCTGCTCCTGCCCCAAAACTCAACCATTGGCCCCAAACCTTCACCCCTGTGCTCCAGGTCAGGCCTCCTCCAGTGAGGGCCTGGGAAACTTGGAGATATTTGCATGAAATTGGCAAAATTGTGAGAAAGCCGAGAGTTGGGGCAGCAGGGGCCAAGTTTGAGGGAAAATATTGAGCATTTGAAGAGAAAAGCTGGGCTCTGGAGGAAAGATCTCTGGGAATGGAGACATCTGGTGACCATCATGGAGGGCGGGACCACTGCCGGAATTGTCAATAAAAGCAGCAGCACCATAACTATAACTACTGTAAGCACGTTTGGCACAGAAATAGGATCCGGAATCCTCGTCCTTGAGGTTGTTCATGGTCAGCGTCACCGAGCTCTGCCCGTTGTCCCTGGAGATCCTGAACCGGCCATTCACCCATGGCGAGTAGTTGGTGCCTCCACCAGTGTTGCTGATGCTGGCGATGTATTCCAGCCCCTGCCCCGGTCTCTGGCGCATCCATCGCATTCCAAATTGTCCGAAACTGAACCCGGACCCGAGGCAGAGGAGGCACAGGGACCCCCCGGGGGGCTGGAGGTCCTCCCCGCACACCAGCAGGGTCATGGCCGCCCGGAGCCCTGCGGGACAAAGAGGAGATAAGGATAAGGCCCCAGATCTGGGCGTGGGTTGTGTTTGGGGTGACCAGATCCAAAAAGGGACCTGGACCCACCTGGGAGGGCCAGCAGGATCAGGAGGAGGAGAAAGTGCCACAATTTGGGGCCAACACCAGGATCTGCATGCAGGAATCAACATTTGGGTGGATTTTTTCCCTCATGCCCATCTCCCCTTTGTCCCGCAGGGCTCCGGGCGGCCGTGACCCTGCTGGAGTGCGGGGGGCACCTCCAGCCCCCCGGGGGGTCCCTGTGCCTTGTTTGCCGAGGGTCCGGGTTCGATTTTGGCAGTTTTGAAATTTACTGGGTCCGTCAGAGACCCGGGCAGGGGCTGGAGTGGCTCGCAAGTATCAGCAGCGGTGGTGGCACCATCTACTATGCGCCGTCGATCAAGGGCCGGGTCACAATCTCCAGGGACAACGGGCAGAGCTCGGTGACGCTGACCATGAACAACCTCAAGGACAAGGATTCCGGATCCTATTTCTGTGCCAAATCTGGTTATGCTGGTGCTTGGGATCCTGCTGCTCATGGTGAAGACCCCAGTGGTGGATCCATGCAGCCATCTCAGTGTCCCCTCCTGTCCTCAAACCCCCAACAAGTCCCCAAACCTCAGCCCTGGGCCCATCCCCGCCCGGGGGTCTCTGTCCCAATCCCCACCGGGCCGTGGCTTTGGGGACCCCTCTGGAGCCGTTTGATTTCCCACCATCACTCTCCTCACCGGACTGTGGCCATGGGGAGGTGCCGGCAGCTCATGGCCCCGGCAGCACTCACAGAAGTCAATGGCGCAGCTCACCGCCATAGGTTTGTGGCCAATCACACAAAGCAAAGGCAGATTGACACGGTGGGGCCGGATCTGGGACATCCCCGTCAGTTTTGGGGAATTTGGTTGGGACTCAGAGCCCAGAGCTGAGGTTTGGGGCAAGGAAATGAGAGTTGGGGCAGAGCCAG